AATTACATTGGAATATACAAATAACAAATTTATATGGTAAAGAACTGTTTTATATTTTTATATATTCTTACTTAAATATTGACCTGTTAGAGTACATTTAAAAAGTCTAATGTGTGTAGATGGCCATAGTTTTTTTTTTCCACTGATTTTTGAAATATTTTTGTTTTGATTCCAGTAGCATTTTATATATGGGAACTTGTGGAGAAGTTTGGTTTTTTTTCAGCCAGCATTCTCAGATTTAAGTTGTGGAGAATTTATTCATCAAAAATAGTTTCTATTCCTGGCTTGCTTCGAGCAGCTTTTTTGAGACCCTGAATTTGAGTTATGTGAACTCAGTCCTTGAGATACCAGTTTTTGGTGAAGAAACAATTTTTGCTTCCTCTGTCGTCTTTATTTTAATGCCTAATTAATTGGATAAGAACTTTATTTGGAGGAAGAGTTTTAAAAAATTTTTAAGGAAAATATAGCTTGGGAAATGAGATTCTTCATTTTATATTAAAGAAATGTGAACTTTAGACATGATACTTAGCCATATCCTTAATATTTTCAAAATTAGCACAGGTGACCAAGAAAAAAAAGAAGAAACAACACAGGATTCCAACAAATGATGAATTACTGTATGATCCTGAAAAAGATAACAGAGATCAGGCCTGGGTTGATGCACAGAGAAGGGGGTAAGAACTTGAATTTAATATTTAGAATCTTTAGAAAAATATGACTGAAAGATGTTTTGTACTATATTCACGTTTTGAATGTGTATGTATGTATGTTTATATACACACATAAACAAAGAAGTTTGAGAAAAAAACTGGTTTATTTTGAAAATAACCAGAAAATTTCAGTCAATTTATTTTTAAAAGTTGTTGTTGAATTCAAACCGCTTTAGTCACTCTCTTCATTCAAGAAACAAAGCTGACTTTTTTTCAAATAGACACAATTTTAAATTACTTTGAGATTAAGAGTTTATGTTGGCCGGACACGGTGGCTCATGCCTGTAATCCTAGCACTCTGGGAGGCCAGGGCGGGTGGATCGTTTGAGCTCAGGAATTCGAGACCAGCCTGAGTAAGAGCGAGACCCCATCTCCACTAAAAAAGTATAGAAAGAAATTAGCTGGACAACTAAAAATACATAGAAAAAATTAGCTGGGCATGGTGGCGCATGCCTGTAGTCCCAGCTACT